AAAATCTACTCACAGAAGACAGTTGCGTGAACTATTAAAACTAACAAAAATTCAGACGCCTAAAATCATTCATTTCCATGTAATGTTATGCTAAATTATATGTAAAATTGGCATTGACCCATGGTTGGACAAGGTGCACCAGGTGGAAAGGAGGCTAACCCAAGTCACTGAAATTGCAGGAACTAGAATAACAAATTTTGTCTGCAGCTAAGGCACAAAACATGTATTAAAGCGTGATTTATTTGTAGAGTGCTTCCATGGTATCTCTCAAATGTTCAACATCGGCACCAATAACTTCCGAGGCCTTTTTACCGTTTTGAAAGAAGTGTAGAGTAGGCTGCATCCAAGGAAAACACAATAGTGAAACATCGTTAATCGTGTGAGATGCGTTCATCAAGAACACTTGCTCTTAATTTTGCCACACAGTATTTCATAAATTACAGCCTGAACTCTTGCATTCAAATTACAAATGATTCTTCTGAATTGCCTTCCAACACAATAAATCCCCTCGTTCTCACTTCTTGAGATTTATCTTATGAAAAGATTTATTCTTCTGACTTTGCAGGTATCTTCTCGTTTCAACGTCACATGTATGCTATAAACAGTGGCAGCAATACACAGTCATTTGCAAGACATTTTTTTCAGTACAATGCCCCAAGATCATAAAACACATTTCTCCGGACCTTGAGAACAGTGTGTATAATTGAAAAATGATATGATCTGTATGTCTATGATAGTCAATGTAATCTAGATTTTACTGCCCAAGCACCACTAAGTAACAAGAAGCAGTGAAAGGCTGTTTACCTTTCCCAATCCAAGTTGAAGGTTCATGCATGTCAATTCTTGATGTCTTGTTATAGTACTGTGTGGCCATAATATAATGCTCTTCCTTTTCTCTTTGTTTTGTCTCTATTTTGCCAAGATAGCTGTAATACGCCCCCAAAGCATTTAGAGTGGCAATCCTCTCATATCTCACATCTGCATAATATTCATCGATTTCTGCAGAACAATAACCTTCATCAGAATCTAACATAAAGAAATGTTTTTTATCATCTAGAAGGAATGTCAGCAAATCAACATAATGAGAAGACAGTTTACCTGTGCTAGACCCTTCTTCCAATATTTGTCGAAACTATTCAATTTTACCTTGTTTGAAGTACTCCCTCTGCAACCAAACTAGCGAATTCATACACAACATACAAACCCGGTACAAGTACAAAACATGCGCCAGTTTCCAATCCAAACTTATACCAAATCCTGAACCTATAACCAGCTCTTATACTTGGAACATGAATAACAAAAATTAGAAGTATCAAAGACTTTAGCTTCCCGAACACAAGTTACCATTGTACATGAAACATGGCAAACCTCTCACAAAGTAAGTTATGAGTCTAAGCACTTGTTTGTGAGAAATTTTAATGGGATTATAATGAAAAGGAATGGTTTGTCCCAACAAGAACTAAACCTCAACCAGAACTCACTAGATTAAAATTGAGAAAATAAGTTAAATGCACGCTCACAGATGCTTATTTCTTATCCTACTCTTCTGAAAAATGGACACCTTGAAACTTCTCAAAATGTAAGTAGAACCCAAAATATTGAATCCTGCTGGGCGTTCATTTAATAATGCCAACTGCATCAAACTTTACAATCAATTCTGTTAAGAAATTTCTTTTACCCATACCTAATCATACATGTGATTCACTACAAGTAGATATACACAACACAAGATGCACAAAATGTAATTCGAAATCAGAATTTCGTCTTAGCAAACATCTATTTTTGCACACACTAAGTACAACCCAAAAAACTGTGCACATCTAAAAGATTTTTTAGAACACTTCCGTACATACACATGTATATCCACAAATAATACACAAAATTCAAAAACAAAAAAGTCTCATTTTGATGACAAATTCACGCGCATAAAACATACATAAATATATATATAACACACAAATGTAGCTCAATTTGAACGCCAAAGATATAACTAAGTACCCAAATGTATACATAGATATGCCCACCAAGTCACCAAAAAATTAAACTAAAGTCGAACTTGAATCCAAAACAATTCAAACACAAATTCATAGATAGAAACAACCAAAACCATTTAATTCTTCATAAAAACAAATAAAACAGTCTCTTCTAGAAGAATAGCATATGTTGTAATAGGCAGCTATTTGAGGGATGACTGTGATGGTCCATAAAACAAAATTTGGCCCGACGAGTTTCACAAGGCCGCTCACACAGGATAGAAACCACGAGTTCAACTCAAAGTCGAATGGAACTTGTTTTAACACAGCTATAATCTAAAAATGAAAGAGGCAGAAACAATGAAAGGATATAAATTTCTTTCAAAGCTTTTTTGTCTAAAAGCAACAAAGAAATACACAAAACGAACTACAAAGGAAGAGGCGAAATTAAACGTCAAACTTCACAATTACTTTATCAATTCAAGATCAATTGAACTTAAATGGTGTAAAATTAACAACTAACTTGGTAATGAAGGAGCCCAGTAGACGAATTCACAAAAGGCAGTTTTNGTCAATTCAAGATCAATTGAACTTAAATGATGTAAAATTAACAACTAACCTCGTAATGAAGGAGCCTAGTAGACGAATTCACAAAAGGCAGTCAACTGGTTCCACAGTTTTCACTCGATTCTAGACGACAAATTGCAGGATTCCAATGGTGAAACTGGATGCGTCTGGTTGAGAGAAGTTGAATGGTGGTGCTCCGACTTCGAAATGGTGGCCGACGGCGGTGGTAATATGGAAAAACCATCGATAGTCACGCAGTTTTTTCCATAAATTGGGGGCGATTTTTGCAACTAAGTGGCATTGACGAGTATAAAGGGTAGAAGAGAGAGTTTATGGGGTTCGAACGGGAGTGGATTGAGAGAGGTTCAGGCGATGGCTGCTTGTAGTTTGTGGAGGAAGAAGAAGAGGCTTTTCTCTGTTTCAGATCTTCAACTTTTTCCAAGTGTTTTCAACTTTTTCGAGTTTTCAACAGAAAATGCCCAAAACAACTTTTTTTTCGTTTTCTGTTTTTTTTCAGTATTTTTTTTGGTATTTTCAAAAATACGTTTTCGAAAACGGGAAAGACAACACGTTTTCACCATTTTAAAAAATCGAAAACAGAAAACGGTTTGAAAACGGTAAAGAGA